GCCTTTAGCACGCTTATCTCTGCTCGCGCATCCTTATACATGCGTTGGAGCAGAGCCAGCTGGGAGTTTAACTGTTGCACCTCATTTGTCCTGCTCTGCAGACCTACTCCACTAAACCTAATCCACTACACCACTACCACCTCACCTACTCCACTAAACCTATCACCTACTTCACCCACTTAAACCTACTCCACTAAGCCTAACCCACTACACCACTACCACCTCCACTTCACCTACTCCTTACCTACTACACACTCACCCTCTTCTATATATAGGAATCATGAATCATTGTAATATAAATCAATATATCAATCAATAATAATATATACAATTTATTCTCTCTCTTTCTCTATACATTATTTCTTACAAATTCCATTAAAACAGCCAAACACATTTCAACATTTAGCCAAATCTCTAGTGTTTTAGTTTCTGGCCAAGTGAGAGATGTCAACAAACAGAAGTGCATATTTCAGACTAAACTTCACTCTCACACCATTAACAGACCCAGTAGATGAGATAGGAAGCCACATCATGTCTGAACAACAACAACTAAAAGAATGAAAAGACTAGCATGGTTTACAAATTCATGTAGAAAATATATTTCAGTCATTCAGAACAATAACAGGTATTAGGTCCACAAAATACTTTTAAGATATAAAAATCACGCAACATGATAAACTCTATAAAATTTAGAACAAGGCTAATAGTTAAAAAAGAAATGTTAAAATAATCAAATGAAATATAGTAATAGTTTAATATATTTATACAACTATGTTTCGTATGAATTTCTACATGCAGACAACTAGACAAGCAGTACACAAGCCAAAATTTCGACCAAGTGCACAAACACTTTTGATAGTTGAGCTCAATCTGTGCCCATACCATTCACTAAATCATTGCCTATTACCTTTTCTAATAGTCCACATGCATATTTCTATCGACTTTCCTGTAGTCTTAATGGTAACCACCACCTTGAATCAAAACACAACTTAATGCTCATTTTATCCCTTTATACCACCTCATGCTTCTCACCTCACCAGTGCACTAGTACTGCTTGGCACAAGCTGATACAGCCCTTTCCAATTCCTTAAAAACTTTTCAGCATATTGGATCTAGCGTGATTTATGTTGCTAAAAATGCATCAGTATAGGCAGTTTTTCAAACGTAGAAGAAACCAAGTGATATAACGAATTACTATCAACCCATCAATCTTTCCAGTCTATGCAACCTGAATTTGTAATCAGCACAAGTTGCCCAGTTTCTTCAGAAATAACATTAAAGAAAAAGTTCTTTGTATGTAAATATTGACACATCTATGATCTAACATTTTTAGTTGCATTAAAATAATGTGTAGGATATAACTGCAAATCAACTCAATCTCCAAATTTGTTTCAATGTTTCCATACCCATTCATATTATTTACAAATTTTAATACAAGGCTTGCCCCATTGGGTCGCGTGGCCAAGCCTACCACACACCATGACCCCAACCCTCTTCTAGTTTGTTCAAATTTGATAGCATTTTTGTCCACTTAACTCCAAAAGCCTTTGTCTCAATTATTTGGGTTGCACAAACATTTAGGTCATGTTTGATTCACAAGATTAATAGTGAAGTATTAATAATCCTATTAAATTAGTGTGGTATTCACTATCCAATTGGATTAATATCCATTGGATTAATAATCTCACCCCTACCCCATTACTAATAATCCTACAAATTTGTTGGATTAATTATTTATTGGATTAATAATCCTAAACCAAAATGTTAAAACAAACATAGGATAATTGGGCCCACGGATTAATAATCCCAATCCTATGCTCTAATCCACTCAATCAAACATGCCCTTAGATTATAACCAACATAATACCTAAATTAAAAATTTAGAAACTAGTTTTTTGGATTAGTGATAACTTGAGAGTTACTATTCCCCAGCCTATCAAAAAAAAAAAAATTATAAAAAACTATATATATATGAAAGAAAAGGAAGAAGTAATGTGAGTTAAGTAAAGGATGGTAAGAGGAATATCGAAAAACTTGCTAGTATGAGAGAAAAGGAAAGGTAAAACTTGAACTATGCAAAATGCATTAAGGGCAATAATTGGATAGCATTATTAAAGGACGATAAGAATAAAGAATAATGGAGGTGTTACTTTAAGATATATGTAATGGAAATCATGTTAGGAGCTTAAGTTTCGAATTAAGAAAATAATTGTAGCAATTATATGTCTATAGATTTCTTTCCCAAAAATTAGGATAGTAGATGGAAAGGAAGCCTAATAGTATTTGTATTGAGTTTTGGAAGTATTTAGGTGATGAAGGAGCAATTTGGTCAACTAATTAACTTGTTTAATAAGATTTTGCAGAAAAAGAAGCATGATGAATAAAGCAATATTTTTTTTAAAGATCCTAATAATACTATTTAGATCCCAAAATTCACCCACAATGATGAAGAAGCATGATGAATAAAGCAATATTATTTTTAAAGAACCTAATAATACTAAATTATTGAGTGTGGCAAATGCTTAAGACCCACAATTTAGATCCCAAAATTCACCCACAATGATGTGACAAGAGAGTTGAGTCTTATATAGTTGAGTGTGACCAATCAAAAGTTGACAGCTAACATGCCATCTTATATGAATCCCACATCATTTAGATTCTAAAATACATGAACTCACCAATACAACATCTACACCAGGAATAAAATTTGATAATTAGAATTCTCATCAGTAAGTCATGTTATACTACACTATAGCGGTTTATTTCATTGATTTGATTTTTTTCACAATCAAAATTCTTATATGTGGATAAGCATCAGTGTATTTATTTAGGCATATGCAACTACAAATGTAACCAATTGTACTGTTCCAAATAACTAGTCAATATAAAACTCCAGTATAGAGTTGCTAGACATGGTTAGAAAATAAAAATATAAACCACCAACACAACAACCAAATCTCTGCATAAAGCCACTTATGTTCAATACTCAATCACCGTGTCACAAAATCCTCAGGAAATAAAATGAAAGGTGAGCCAACTTTGTCGTTTGCAATGGGAAATAAAAAATAGAAAGAAAAAACAGTAAATTAACTCTTAAATTCAGAGAAAAAATAATTAAGGGATTAGAGAAGTATACCGGACACATAGGGAGACCCATGGGACTGAGGAGACAATTTGTCTTTGATACCACCCAATCTGGTGGATAATGAAACCTACAAGATGATCCAAATTTACAATCTCCTGTTTTCAAGTAGTATTGGCAATCAGGTTGCCCAGGTCTCTCTGGAAACCCTCTTTCCTGAGTACTGCTTGAAGGTCCAGCAGGAGAGGGGAAGGTAGGATATGGTCTCGCAAATGCAGATGCTGAAGAAGGTAATTGTGTAACACCATACGGGGAACCTGCTCCAACAGAGTAAGGAACACTAGGAGACAAGACTGGGCTTACAGGTCCCTACATAAAATAAAATAACACATAATAGGTAACAAGCATAGACATGGAAATTTTTAAAAACTGTAGGACACGACACATGGGGGGACACATACACATATGCCATATATAAGGATAAATAGTTATTATATGTTAGATATATGAATATTTAAAATAATATTTTTTGAAGTATAAAGGAATAAATAGGTACACATTTACATTGTTTGTGTTTTATCACGAGATTCCAAGTTATTTTATTCAAACTTATTTGCGTTTATTTGTATCTAACCATTGAGAAGTGTCCGACGAGTGTCGTGTCGTATCGGTGTCTAACACAGTGTCAGACAACACTCTAATTTCTTAGAAGTGTCCGTACTTCTTAGTATAATAGAAATAACTTTGTAATATACCGCGTAAGGACTCCAACCCGAAATGGGAACAACACCAGGAGAAAGAAGCATAGGACCATTAGCACTTGGTAAGCACTTGGCACATATGAGCCAGGCAATGGTGGAGGCCTTCCAGTCCTATAGCTGGGAGACACTGCCCCATGTGGATCAAATGAAGGAACTGATGATGAAGACTGCACCGTTGGATAAAATTGATGTGCAGGCTCTGGCATTGACATCCCACCTGGTTGAGGATGATTGAATTTACAAATAACACCAAATTTGCATTGCCCCGTTTTCAAATAGTAGGAGCATTCTCTCTCACCCTGTCACAACAGAGACAAATAAGGCAACTTTAGTATCCCTCCCAAGAGTCCATACCATGCTCGAGTTCCAAATAATGGAAAGAGGGAACTTATGAAGGAAGAACAATTATTACTGGTCTTAATGGGTATCCATAGATATTGACTCGCGTATTACTCATCAATCCACCACCATTTCTAGGATGGTGGAACTTGCAGGATGCACCGAATTTACAGATCCCAGTCCTTGAATAATACTGCAAATTGAGCAATGCCAATGTAATCAATACATTACAAACAAGAAAAGACAATGAAATAATTTGAACAATCAACCCAAATAAGCAAAATCATGTTATAAATCAATCCCACTCCCCCTCTTCCGTACAGCCGGTTCAAACCCATAATTACTCCTACCAAATAGCAGCATAATTGCAGAGTATAATTGTCCCAACAAAATCACATGTCAGCATTCAAATATTTTATTATGATGTTGAAAACAACCGCATGAAAGCTATAACAGTCAACATATCTTACTATCAAGCAATTGGTTCCAACAACATCATGTTGAATGCTCCTGATTAAATGAATTTTGAAAAAGATGTGTGCACATATCCATAAGCAACAGTTGCGTGAAACATAAAGCTGTCTAGATTTGGAAATAGTAACTACTGACGTGCAAGCACTTACTAGTAACCATCTCTAAGACCACCGAATTTCTCTTGCCCAGTAGTATCCCAGCAATAAAATTGGATTTTCCCACAGTTTGTGAAGAAGTCCAAAGGGTGAACTTCGACAGCAATAGGTGCTGTTTAAAACAAAAACAATAATTACCAAATAAACATGCATGCATGGTACTGAAAATAATCTGAACTCAGTTAACGGGGAAATTGTCATGTCACTTAGAATTATAATTCTTCTCCTCCACATACAAAAACACAATCAAGTAGAAGCAATTAAATTAAACAATCAAACCCAAGAAAGATCAGGTTTTTACAAATACACTTACGTTCATACTTCTCAAATTCACCAGTGAGATGCCTCTTCACAATAGTTGTTTTCCCTGCATCATTCAAACATATTCAGCAACAAGAACCAAAATTCATCAAGCAACCTACTGTTCAACTTCGTGCACGTGAAATAGTTCAAATTAAACCTTTCTTTGAAAAACTAAGGATGTGTTTGGCTTCAATATTGAAAATTGTTTTCTATACTGTTCTTCTTAACAGGAAAAGAAATAAGCAACACAAACAGAACTTAGTTGGCAAACTGTTTTCAGGATTTATCTTTTCTTTTCTTTTCTTTTCTGAAACACCCATTTTTGGGAAACAATTGTTAATTGCTTTCCAAATTCTCAAAAAATGGATTCATAAAAACTAAAAAAACATAGGAAAACAAGGGTATGCTTGAAATTCTCATTCTCTTATTTTTTGAAAACATGAATAACAAAAATGGCAAATGAAAACAAAAATAGTGAAAACGAAACCAAACAATCCCTAAACATACTTTTGGATTCATTTCAACTCTGAGGGGAAAAAATGAGCTAAAGAATCACAACATGCTCATCTTTCCTTAGTGCCAAACAATTCTTATATCCTCAAGCTTGATAGACATTTAAAGAAACAATTTTTTCGATATTACAGAACCAAAAAAAAAAAAAATTAAAAAATTTTAAAAAGTAAAAATAAAAAATTAATACCAGTTCCAACATCACCAACAATGACGAGCTTGAAGCTTGGGTAATCAACAATCTGTTGGTTCGGCAAAGCCTACAAGCACGAAAAACTACAAAATCAGCGGCTCAAATATAAACCCAGAACTCCATTCTTAATAAAAATGCTCAAATGATTTTAAACTTTTTTTTTGAAGTGTAATTTTTTACATGAAAATGAACAAATCGTGATGCATTGAGAGCAAGAATTGTAAGTTGAAAAACCCTAGAGTCTAACTAAACTCAAATCAAACAATGACGAAATCAAAGACATCAGACAGTAGAATAGAATAGAAAGAGCTTTACCACTGGATTTGAATATTCTGATACAGGAGCTTGGTGTGTTGGAGAGAGAGAAGAGGCATTTGGCAGCGGCCAGAGAAATTTGAAGGGAAGAATCAATAACCAAGTGGAAATAAACATAGCTCAAGAATCAAACTGAGATTTTTTCTAGATCGAAGAGAAGAGCATAACGAAACCCTTCCCCTTCGAACCATCGATCATTGCCATCGCCGTGGTCAAACTAGTCTCACCGCCGAAGAGAGAGCACCGTTCCAGGTCGAAGTCTCACTGCCGCCGAACCAATCTCCCCTTCGAACCCTCTCTATTCTCCCTCTCTTCTCCGATTATGCCCCAGTCTCGTTTTGGCCATGCACGGGCACTTGAAAGAATGTGTGGGCTCACTTTACATGAGGCTCAATCCTTGGCTCATGACGGGGAGTTGGATATACCCAGCTTAATTCATCGGTTTTCCAATATTGGAGACATGGGTGACCTCCTCCGGCGAGGTTATCGTTAACGTGCTCCCTGCTTATGCTTACTTGCGCACTTCCTTCTTGCCCCTTGTTATGGTAGAGCTAGCATTAGGTTGGTTGAAGTGGCTCAATGTCTCAAGGAGGGTAAGAGTTGTATAGGTTTGGTGTTGGACGAGACTTTGGTGGGTTTGGATGCTTTCCATAGGCGAGAAACTACTCGGTTTGCAGGGAGTCCACTGCTTTTTCAGGTAATATTTCCCACCCTTCCTTATTTATGATTTCGCACATTCCTCGGCACTCACTTTCTATTTTTCTCTTAAAGCCGTTTTCTTCACTTTTCTCTTAACGGACATCTCT